ATATTAATAGAAGTCTCTCCAAATCATGTACATAAGCTCCCTGCTTTTCTAGGCTTTGTTTCAAGGTAACAAGGAGTCTTTCAGAGTCCACATTTGATGAGAAAAATTCAGAAGATACCAAAATGCTTCTTTTGCAACTCAGGTGCAGACTTTGGCTGTGTAATTGGCTATGATGACCTAGGAGAGCACAGAGAAAGTCTTTGTCCTGCTGCAGTCTGTGCTACCTCTTGGGCAGTGTTTAAAGGAGGTCCATTGGCACATGCTTAAAGAGTATGGATATTAATTATAGTGTTCTTGGAAAACTCAGGCTACTTTTTGGCCATGAAAAGCTACATTCACTGCTACAACCGGGTAGCATTCTTTTCTTTGTCCTCAGTAGCATTTGCTTTGAAACAGCTGTTCACTTTCTCCCAAAAGTGAGCAAGAGTGATCTTCAGTACAATTTCCTGTTCACCTCCACCCAGACATAGTATTTAAGGTGATATCTTGACCTCATTGACATGGAAGAGATTTCCTCCCTCCTCACCTTATTAATGGGTACCTCTAGATCCTTATGTGTGAGGTGCTGCAAAAGTGGTCAAGATTCATGAAAATAATTCTGTAGAAAACAGCCTCAGTGTTCATTGTTAGTGTTTATCTTGAGGATAACCACGCCCCATTGTACAGTGTTCTCTTTCCTTGTTTGTTTCCAGGTTGCCGTGGTTTCTGGTAGCTCTTCCTTGCTTCTTCCTGCCATCCACACCTGTCTATGGATTCACATATGTAAATGTGTTTTTGCTGAAGTTAAGAGAATATGATGGCACGTGACAGAACAATGTGTGGCTGACTTCAGAGGTTGAGTTTGTTCAGAAATGAGGAACATAGCTGTAAATTGTGTAGTGACTTCAGGGCTTAGTCTTGCACATATTTGCACAAGTCAACAGTGTATGAGAGGAATGCCACTTAAAATGAATGTTCTCAGGATCAGGACTCAGGCTGTTGATATTAATTTGAAACAATGAAAATTTGTGTAACTGAAGTGGCTTTCTAATTAAAAATAAATAAGAAAATTTAAAGTTCATGTGCTTTAATTGAAGCATTATGTTGCCTTAAAAGTCCTCAGAAATCAGCATAGTGAACTTGTTTGCTTCTGAAATCTGGAGGGGTTTTCATGTGGTACTAGAAGGATTGATGAGTGTATGATAATTCTGACATTGCCCTTCTGGTGTTAATTGCTTTATTGAATTTTTCCTTTGAATTGAATACTGCCAAGAGGTGTTGGACACAGTGCTCTGAAACCCACGCCCTCTGCAGCTCACATCAGGCAGAGGCAGGTTCCAGGCAGTGCCAGGGATTGTCCTCAGGGACCTGCAGGCGGAAGGTGCGCTGGCCCTGCACTGGCAGGGTGTGATGGCTTTGTCACGTGGGTGGAAATGAGGTCCCCTTGTCCCCCAGGTCAGGTACAGGACAGCTCTTCCTGCTGAGCTGCTCTGTGTGCACCTGGCATCCACGAGGGAAGGTGGGCTTGTGGTGCCTTTCCTCTGAGGTGGCATCGTTTGAATCCACTACAGCTGTAATGGAGGAGTGAGAAGGTATTTTTTCATAAGATTACTTGGTGATATTTTAAATTTATTTTTGAATCTTCTCATACTTTTCTTGTTTCTAGTCTTTACCTGTGTATTTGACATGTGTATACTCTCATTTTCCTTATTTCTTTCCGTGGTTGACAAATAAAATTACATAAAAACTACATGTTGACATTTTTAAGGCACTGGTTTGGTTTCATACAGTATGGAGGCCTGTTTGTGATTTGGCAGTCCAAGGTCAGTTTCTCACATGCCTGCAGAGGAGCACCCTCAGACAGCTGCACTTGGGAGCTCAAGAGGAATTTTAACATATGAACAGCTTTTGGATTTGGGTTTTTTTTCTGCTATATAAACCTCCCAAAAGCTAATTCTCATATTGTTCTTAACAGCCAAAATAATTATTAGAAACATATTCTACCTTGAAATTTCTTCAGCGTTCCATGATGTTTTATATGTGTTCATAAGTTATTCAAGAAAGTAAAAAGCCCAGTTTGTTACCAAGCAGTTCTGGAGCAGGAAAATGCTTGGGGACCCGTCTTGCTTGGCTCATTAGCTTTCTTATTAAGTAATAAATGAGGCTCCAGATGGCCAGAATTTTGCTAGAACTGAGATAATTTTCTTTCAGATTAAGATTTTATTTTAAAACTTCAGCTGAGAAGAAATCTGTGTGTTGTGCTCTCTCACTGCTTACCATTTGCCATGACAGGGTATTCACAGGAGCTGAGTAGTTAATTAAGTAGCTCAAAATTGCAAAATGTGTCAGCACGCACTGCATATTTGACAGTTGCTGCCTGTAGAAGATAAAGCAAACAGTTGCAGCAGCAGTTATAATGAAGATTTATGGCTTTAGGACACAGGCATATGTGGGAGAACAATTTGTAATAAGGGATCAGTTTCTTGTTATACAATTCATGCTTTTTTTAGATGGCTGTAGACTTAGTACTTCAATTTGTTGTTTTCAGTAGAAAGAAGCCTTGCAGTAGACAGTTTTTAAATGAAGTGAAACATACAAAACATGTCAGGCATGCTTGATAGGAAAAAATAAACTTTTTTAAAATGTCGGATCAGTTTATATTAATAATCTAACTCAGAGGCTGTTTTTACTTGAAGCTTTTGTACTGTCTTCTCTGGGAGTTAGATGGAGTGTAGTAAATAATGCCTGCTGCGTGTTGTCTAAGAGCAGCAGCCATTTAGAAATGGTGCCACAGCAGTCCCAAAGTCCTTCTACATCCTAGAGACTTGCTTAATTTTTTTATTTCTTTGGCCCAAGCTGTTCCCCTCATGTGTGTCCTAGTCCAAAGGCAGTAGGCACATCACTGCTTCTGTCAGTACGCAGCTGGAGCCAGCACTTGAACATTGTAAAACAATTTTCCATTTTGATCTGCCACTCTGGGTTCTTGTCCTGAAATTAAGAAATGTTCAGGTACCTACAATACACTTATTTAAAATACTATTTTCAGAAGAAAGCTTCAGTTCTTCCCATTTTCCAGGTCACATGTTGACTGTTTTGGTATTTGGAAGCTTTCAGAGGAGTTTCACTGAAGTGCTTGTGGCTGTGGGAGCTGATGCTGCAGGTTGCGTGCAGGTACCTGCAATACACTGATTTAAAGTACTATTTTCAGAAGAAAGCTTCTTCCCATTTTCCAGGTCACATGTTGACTGTTTTGGTATTTGGAAGCTTTCAGAGGAGTTTCACTGAAGTGCTTGTGGCTGTGGGAGCTGATGCTGCAGGTTGTGCCATGAGAGCTGTTCTGGCAGGCTCGGGCCTGTGGGTGGGCATGGCTGCCCCTGAGCACCTCCCGTGCCTGATCCAGCTGGCTCTTCCCCCTTTGGTTAATGAATCTTTGTGGGCATGGAATGCTTGATATGGGGTGCTTGGGGTGGTGGAGGTCCAGCACTCGAGGCAGGGTCAGGTTTGCACTGAGGTAAAGGAAGGTGGCTCTCTGTGTGTGCCACGTGTGAGTCACAGCTGTGTGGCAGTTTATTGTTTTCCCCCCAGGGAAACAAATCTTCCTTCCTGGTTTTCAGAGCTGGGTGTCCCTTCAGTGAATGGGTGCCTGTGGTCAGTGTGCTGCAGCACTTGAAAACTGCCTGTGTAAAACTGCTGGCTCCTGCATCTTGTAAAGGACAAGGCTGCCACTCAAACTATCTCACAAATAGCCATTTGTGATGGGAGAAGAGGCTGGAGTTATGCTTTGTTATGGTCTTTTGAAATGCATTTTGTCTTGCTGTTAGTGCTCAAATACATAATGCATCTCAACTTTGGGGTTCTTCTTCAAACAGTTGAGTAAAACATGCAAGGAGATACCTTGGGTAGTTCTCTGTGGGTGCAGTTTCATTCAGGTCAGAATGGCTGGAGTCAGTTCTGCTGATGGCATGGTACCACCACCACTCACTGCATGGCTGCGTTTTAGTTAGCTCCTGTGTGGTTTAGCTCTACATTCTTAATGACAAATTGATTTGACTTCCCAAAGTGGAAATTTAAAGGTGTCAGAATAGAGGTGTTTGACCTCATAGCATTATTTTTTTTCCCTTTCTTTAAAAGATACAGACTGTGAGCTTGTGGGTTTTCTGACAGTTCATGTTCTCTCTGTGGCTGTGGTACCAGGTTTGTGCTGCGGGGTCATCTGAAGAAAAGGTTCTCTTGAGGAGGAAAAAGGAAGTTAAAACAAGCCACCCAAGATTTGTGATGCTGTGTGAATTATATTTAATTTGGACCAGCTATTCTGGGGGCAGAATAATGCAAACACGCTTTTGTTAATTCTTACACGGGATATGGCTTTATGCAGTTTTGTTTGCATGTGAACAATATGAATATTTAAAATGTCAGGTTTGTTCTTTTCTGGAATAAATTCACTCATGTGTGAGAGGCCTTTTAGATAACCAAGGGGGGGGATGAGTGGAACAAACAAAAATTTCCCCCAAGGGATGGTTTCCCATTTTGTTTTGGCATTTGGCTTTTAGTGACTTACCATAGAAGTACAAGCTCAGGACACTGGTAAAAATGAAGCTCACTAACTTTTAAACTGATGATGACATAAACTATCTTAAATATGGCCAAGTAGCAAAGTAACTGGATGCCTACTGGTTAATGTGTTAGTTTTGAAATAGAAAAGCTGGAGCCCAGTATGGTGTGTAGAACATTAAAATAACATCCCCTGTTGGTAATCAGAACTGGTCACTTGTAAAGAGCAGGTTAGAATTTATCTGCTCTTACTGCCCAGATGATGCCTTTGCAGTTCACAGTCACTTCATTTTATGGAAAACCAGTCCTTATAGAGAAATATGATTAGAGAATCACAGGAATATGGTTAAAAAAATAACACAAAATGTGCTGCAGAGGACATAATTTATTCTGTCAAAGCTGTTTCTAGAATTTGAGTATGTGTGAGATTTGATGTGCACATGCAGCCTGGTTGGTGCCACCAAGAGGACATAATTTATTCTGTCAAAGAATTTATTCTGTTTCTAGAATCTGAATATGTGTGAGATTTGATGTGCACATGCAGCCTGGTTGGTGCCACCAGGGAGGATTTTCCCTTTGAGTGTTCCTGCTGTCATGTGCTTAGGCACAGGAATAATTGAGATAATGGAACATTTTTGTATTGGTTAATCCTGTTAATCATTAAAAAAATTAAATTGTATTTTTGTGAAAGGCAGAACTGCCTCACCTGGCTCAGAACTTGCAGTTCCCCATTCCTTGTTGAAGCAGGGATTGATGCCATTGAAGAGTATATAGAAGGAGATGGAGATACCAGGTGTGAAAGAACTGTTTGAACTGGCCATGACTGCTGGGGCAGGTGTCAGGTGTCATATTTGAGGAACTGTTGTAACATGGGAGCCTGCTGCATTCCGCTGGGAGCTCTGGCAAACGCGCTTGTCCTGGGAAGCACCTCAGTTTTTATTGGAGTCAGTCCCACACTCCCCACTTAGCACAGTGAAAGTGCACATCCAAAGGCTTTCAGTTATTTTTATTTCAGTCTGTATCAGTCTCTTCTCCCCTCAGGAAGAGCCATGAGGCAGTGGCATTGATTTCCATTTGGATTAGAAATGTTAATGCTGCCCTTCCTAACACTAGGAAAGGGCCTTCCCTTTGGAAAGAAAAGGACAGAAAACACGTGTGTGTGTGTGCTTGTGGAACACACGCTGGGTTTTGAGAGGAAAGGGAGCTCTTGTCAAAATCCAATCAAAAGAGGAGTTCTTAGGATGGTTTGGTACTTGAAAGGGTCTCCATGCAAGAGGAAAAGTCCTGGCTCCATTTTCTGCCTCACTTTCAGCTCTGTTTTATGAGAAGGTCAGGGAGTTATGTGCTGTCACACAGGAGGCTTTCCATGATGGTTTGGTACCCTTTTACAAGCAAATTCACTGTAGCATCAAACCTTCCTTCCTGCTGAGCTGACAGCTCTGGTGTTGGTTCAGGGACTGCCTTGTTCCTGAGGGATTTGCCACCAACCAAAACAAAGGTCCCCTCTGGGCTGGGCTGCACACCTAAGCTCACTGCCAAGGATGTTCCTTATGCATCTCCCAAGTGGTACCAAGGCACTGCTGAAAACAGACCCCAATCCAATCTCAGGTGATACAGGGGACCTTGCAGTATCTGGGAGCATTTTGGTGTGGACTTTGTGCCATTAAATAGTTTTTCTCTTATGCTCAATGACTTTGAAATTTGCTTATTCTGTAATTAAAAATGTCTTGGCTAGGAAGTCCTGAGCTTCCATTTGCTGTTTCAGCTTCTCCCCTGCCTGAGGCAGGATTGTTGAATAAATAATCTTTAGAGCTTCTGCAGGTACTGACTTCTTACAGAAGGGACAAACGGGAAAGAGCAAAGCAGGAATATTTGGACACCAGACTGACTTGGTTCAGGGAAGAGTCAAGCCCAAAAGCCAGAGTCAGGATTTGTCCCTGTGGCTCATGTTTGCTGCTGCTGTTTTCCATCAGGCACAGCCATACATCATCTTGGCACCCACGAGAGCAACTGAGTTGTTGCTGGGGATGGTTTTCAGCAGTGGAATCAGAATGGCTGCAAAAGCACCGTTTCTTTCTTCCACTTTGAAGTAAGAATTAAAATATTGCTTCCTGATTCCACTGTGCTGGGGCAGGGTAAAGAAGGTATCAGACTGCTGATGTCTAATGCACCTTTCCAGCTGGGACAAGCACTTCCTCACCTTCACCCACACTTTTCTGGCTGCAAGGTAAAGGCAAGGAGAGGTGATCCTGTTAGTGCAGAGAGCAGCAGCCTTTTGGGCATGTTGGCAGAGCTGCTCTCGTGGCTTTGTGGGGGCGTGAAGCCCCGGGCTACCAAGGATGGGGATGACAGGCACTGTGCCATCACTGGGGTTTCCTCTGCAGGTTGTGTTCACGTGTCCAAAGATGCTGTAAAATGAAGGGGAGAGGCAGCTGTGTCTGTCATACACTTTATTGTTCATGTGGAGCTTGGCTGATAGATAGGACTAAATTATAGCAATACTTGTGAAAAGGAAAACCCAACCATGACTCAGAAGTGCAAAATTGCCTTCCATGTGTCCAGACACCATGAGCTTCTGGTTTGCAGAAGACAGCACGTGAATGTACCAGCAGGACAAAGGCTTCAGCTTACTGATACCCTAAATGCAAACGAGACACCTGGTAGAGAATATGGCTTTTTTTGCTGGGTAGCCACCTGTGACCCTGAGAAACAGCTTCTGTTAAGAACAGGTCACTGGTGAGTTTTTCTCTAGTTCCCATGTACAAGTGCTGTCTCCATTTAAACCACCGAGCAAGGGCTGCTGAACAGTAAGTGAGTAAAATGAACAAAAAACAATGGTAAAAGCCAAGAACAACAAACCCTTGCCCACCTCCATTGCATTTGGATATGGCTCATCTATCAACAGCACCAGTAGAAGCAAACAGTTCCTGTGGTGGAGGAGTGGTTTGTGATGGGAAGACTTAAGACTTGCAAAGGATCAGAAAAACTAACAAGTGCATCCCAGGTATGAAATTACAGTAACAGGTTGCCTAAGGCTGAGAAAGGTCTTAATTGCATCATCCCATCAGGCACACAGCTGGTGGCAGCTGAAAGATCTGTGGCTGTCCCTTTGCACATTCCCTATTTCCTGCTCACCTGTTTTTGCAGCTCTGTGAAGGAACTAGCTTGACTCCAGAGGACAAAGTGCATGAGATGCTGTGTACTTGGTCTTGTGGTGGTCTGAGAAGTGTCTGGCAAAATGTTGCCAAAGAAAATCAGTTACCTGGTAGTGGAGGAGGGGTGAAAGCTGTAGGAAGTGAGCAGAGTGTGGGGCTAATTTGGTGCCTCGTACCAAGGTCTGTAACTTACTTGCCCAGAAGAGTATCTGGAAAGGTGTCTACCTGCCAACCAGGTCACCCAGGGAGGCAAGGACAGCAGCCAGGGGGTGCTGCTGCCAGCAAGCACAACCACCTCACTTCCTCAGGCATCTCAGTCCCTCAGTTTTTTTTCCATGAGAGACGTGAAGCCCTCCCTCCTCCAGCATTTCCTGTGCTGCCTGTGCAGGGAACCAGCAAATGCTGACTGGTGCTGCCCACGGCAGCCAGCACGTCCTGCTGGGTTTGCAGTTGCCGGCAGTGGTGGCACAGGCGTGCTGCTGGGGCTGCCTGAGGCCGTGCCAAGCAGGCTGCCTGTGACACGGGGACAGTGGCAGCCTTTACCTGCTGGCCTGGCCCCAAAGCTGCTGCTGGGCTGGAGAGCTCAGACGTGCCTGTGCGCTATGCAGGCAAGCCTGGGAGCCAAATGGCATCAGCGGCACAGCCCCACCACAGTGCTGGGGGTACCTGCAGCTGTGGGGCAGAGCAGCCCCAGGGCTCAGGAATCCTGCAGCCGCCCCAGCAGGTGTCAGCTGAGGGACTGAACATGGAACCAGACGTCAGGCAGGACTGGCTTTGCTAACTAGGAAGATCAGCATTGAGGGGAGAGCTTCACCAGGGTTTCTGCTTGAGGCTGTACGTGTGTCATGGACAGAGAAAGAAAATAGTTGTGCCTAATCCTGTTCAAAAAGTTTCCTTTGTTTTTTTTTAAATTTTTTTTCTCTGTATTAGTGTAGAGGAATAGCCTTGGGATGCTCTGCAGGGGCTTTGTGTCTGTGAACATATCTTGTTTAGAGTTTGATGAGAAGTTTGTACTGGCAGTACCACGTGACAACAGCACTGTTTGTCATTTGCTGATACATAGCAGGGAGCAGCAGGTTTTCCTAGGAGGCCACATCCAAAGGCCTTGGGATATTTTTATAATTCACCAGTAAAAACCATCAGCATCTTCAAACTGTGTTATTTCCTATACCACCACATTCCAGCTCTGGCTGTCTTTTCATTTACTTTCTTGCCTTCCAAGTGCAAAGCCAGGGAGCAAACCAGAAGTGATTAGGCAGCTGTTCAGGCACTAGGAACACAGAGAGTGATTTGATAAAGCAAAAAGCCCGACTCCTTACGTACACCCCACACAGAGGCTTGGTCAACAAGCAGCACTGAATGTGTTAAATGGATTTCCATCAACTTGTCTGGAGAGCTCTTCATTTCAGTGCATGATCTGGGCTCTGGGGCAGATGTTATTCAAAAAGAAAAAAAACCCAACTTTATTCCCAGTTTCTCAACATATTTGCTGCAGCAATGCCATTCCTTCACGTGCCAGAAGAGCTCAAGGTCAGCAGGGTACAACTGTATCTTCTCTCTCTGCAGGCTGCAGCCAGCACTTCCCTGTGTGCTGGGTCTGGATCAGGAGCCAGCTGGGCTCCTCCTGCCAGTCCCCTCGGTGCAGAGCTCCCACGGGCCTGGCCTGGAGCAGCAGCTGGAAAGCAGCAAGGCAGGGGCAGGAACTTGCACAGGGGTGTGGTTTTCTGTCAGTCCCCGGAGCTGTGCCTGGCAAGTGCTGCTGGCTGGGCTCCAGCAGCGTGAGGGAGTGGGGATGGGATAAGCTCTTCCTGAGATCTCCCTTGCTGTGCTCCAGTTCATTTTTGACATCTCCCAGAGCACGATCCCTGCTGTCAGAGATACCCCTGGTGTTCCTCACGCTTCTCCCCATCCAGTGGTTGAGTTCATAGCTTGTTCTTCTGTCTCATGGTTAAAAAAATATATATTTTATTTTTCATCCTCATCTCCCTCGCTCATGCTGCTGAGGGAGGCAGAGGCAGCTTTTGGAGAAGAGGGAGGGGAGGTCTTATTGATGACCCAAGGTGGAGATGGAGAACGGGACGGAGAGCGGCCTCGTGTAGGACTGCTGTTTGGGCTCTGCCGGGGAGAAAAAGCCTGGAGCATTCGGCCGCTTCGTTCCTGGAACATCTGCTTCTGCAAAAGCAAAGTGAAAAGATGCTCTTTGAGTACTGCACAGAGGGGAAGGCTGTGGGCAGGCAGAGGTTACACGGTGCCTCTCACCAGGGAGGGAGCAGGGAGCCGAGCCCCGGAGCACGGCTGGTTTGTCTCTGCTGTGCTCACTTGCATGCAAGTTTTTACCTCAGCTGGGCCACCCCCAGTGTGAGGCCACTGTGTGTACTGGCCTGAGCCACACACAGGGGATGCCCTTTGTGGTTTTTGCATGTATTGGTCACACTCATGTCTCCAATGGTCACTTTTCTGCCTGAACACCCAATATTCCTAGTTCCCAGAGCCTTTTCCTTTTAGAATGCTTGGAAGGACCACATCTCTCCTCCTGAGCTTCCTGGCTTTCCTAGCCTTTATTCCTCTGTCCCTTCATATGGGAGACAGCCGGGTGCCTGCCAAGTACTGGCAGCTGCTTCCCCAGCTGCCTGGAGCAGGCATGACCCAAACCCATAAACTGAGAGTGGGAATGTCAGAATTTGGGCGTCTATTGAAAAGAGAAAACACTTGCAGGCTCTATGTTTTGCTTGGAACTTTATTGTCACTTTTGCTTTGTAAAGCTGAGTGGAGGCCTGCCAGAGCTGGTGGGGTGGAAGAGACACCTCTGCAGTCAAGCAATCTGCTACACTAAGGCAAGTGCCTCTACTCATTAGCAGCAATGTGGCCTTGCGTCACGCTGGGTTACGGAAGACATGGTGTGTGCTGTGCAGCTGCTGCAGGCTTCACATGGAAAATGCCAAATCCGAGTGCCCTGCTGCTCCTTCTGGGGATAGGGAGTAAGAAGCCTCAGCCTTGGCTGCAGGACTGGCGGTTGAGTCACAGGCGATGCTCGGCTGAAAGGAAGATCCAGCCCCGACAAAGTTAAGTTACCACTCAGGTCTGAGAGGAAAATACTTGTGCAGAATGTAAGGGTTTGCCTGTTTTAGCTGAGATCCAGCTTGCAGTTGCCCACTTTTCATCCTGTTCCTATTTCCCTTCCGTCTGCAGTGACTCTGCCCTGTGCTGACACAGTATCTGGCTGCTCATCTTGCTCTTTCTCCGCCTCTTTGAAACTCAGTATTCCCTGCCAGTGGAGAGGCAGATGCTGGTTTCCCCCTCAGGTTTCTGGGTGTTTGCTAAATCCCAAGGCTTAAAAATCAAGCACAAATACTGAACTTAGTTGTTCCTCTGTGAGCTCCCTCTCCTAATTTACATCTTCATCACATTAGCCTTTATTGATTTAGTTTTAGAGCCTGGATTTCACCGCAGCACAGAGTGGCAGAACAGTTCCTGCCTGCAGCTACGCTTCTCAAGGCTCTTGAGCATAAAACCCACAGTGTGTAACCTACCCCTGCACTACTGCTAGGTTCAAATTAGTCAAGACTTCCTAAACTCTCGGTAGTTAGCAGATGGTGGTTGCTCCTGATAAATGTGCCAAGAAGCATTTGGATGGGGGAGGACTTCTGCAGCTGAGAGCTGCAAGGATGTCACCAGCGTTGGCAAAACCCCAGAGCCCGATTGCAATTCAGTGGCAGGGGTGCAAAATTTCTCGTTAGATCACAGAAATGTAAGGTTCTGTTGGCTTGTTTCACCCTCTTACTGAAGATAATCCCCAACAAAAAAATGCACATGTTTGATATGAAATATATTTTTCCTGGCCAGTCAAAATACTTTGACTTCCTCCTGTTGTCACTTCTAACAACTCAGTGGCACAGTGGTGCTTTGTGCTGGTGTGTGGTGGCAGTGCTGGAGGACATCCAAGTGCTCCAGCCTGGCTTGGCCTGCACCATCCCATGTGGCAGGGAGGACTTGACTGTGCCTTAGTGACAGAGGCCAGGTTTGGAAAGGAGAATCTCACCTTCCTGCTAAGTCCCTCAGCCAGGCTGTAGGACACCTGCTTCCTAGACCTTCAGTGAAGTTTGTTGCTGGAACAAACTGATGCACTCACACCTGCAGCAGGGCAAGTGCCCAGCCCCTCCATGTTGCCTCCTGCTCTAGAGCTGGAACCACCAGGCTGCTGGCTGAAACCACAGCACTGCAGGAGGAGGAGGTGGTGTCACTCACCTGCCTCAGAACACCTTTCTCTCCAGCTGTGCCCTAGCAGGGTCAGTAAGCCATGCCATTTGCAGGCAAGGAGCTCCTTGGGCCATTGGGTGCTGAAGAAGTAGAACAAGTGTTAATGGCTTCCTTGGGGTGTTGGAGGGTTAGACAAGGCTGGATGCACTGTGGTCCTTTACCAGAGGTAGGGAAATAATTTCCAAGTCTTCACTCAAGCAAGTTCAGGTACACTCAACCAGTTTAGGGTTTGATTTTGGGAAACTTGTTACTGGGAAAAAATATTTTCCCTGTTTCAGAATTTTACTGTCTGTATGTTGATACCCCTTTGCTTTACAAAGCAAGTGCCAGCTGGGTGTCTGCTTTTGAGCTGCTGATTGTTCCAAGGCCATTTTAGGTCCAGGCTGCAGACAGGTGCTGTGGCCTAAACACCATCCCCAGATTCCAGCTGCAACCTGTCTTACCTGAGCCCCTGATGACGTCTGAGGTGTGTCAGCTGTTTGGAAGGCAACCTTCCCCAAGTATCCCTGTGTGCTGAGCAGGGGGAAGCCAGTTCCTTGAAGGGACACCTCATCTGAAGGGACATTTCTGAGAGAGACTGGCACAGAAACTCTGCCCTGTGAGTGAGCTGTGCTTTCTCTCCACTGACCTCAGTTGCAGGTGCCTGCTTGTACATGTCTGAGAGGAGCTGGAATGGACACCTGCACCCTGGAGTGGTGTCTCTGCCATTAGGCCCTGGGTGCCAGACTGTGTGGTGGTCCTGTCTCACACCACAGAGAAGTTTCATGCCACACTAATCATTGTTTCTGACCTCTCTGTGACTCTCTTGAGGAAAACATATGCACAGGGGATTGCACAGGTGGGCGAAACTGCCAGTGAATTACAGACATCTGGACATTTGAAAACTGACATTTTGACCTCTTTCACAAACAGGCATTTTTCTGTGGGTTACGTAGCCCTTACTTTTAGAAAATTGATGCTAGCATAAAGTATATTATAATAATTATTTGTGAAATAATAATAGCATATTAATGGCATGCAAATTACTGATCTAGGAATCCAGCATGCCCATAATGATTCCTGTACTTTTAATGTCAACATTAAAAGCAACTTCTAACTAACAGTGATAAGGCGAATTAGCATTAATAACAGTTTTGACACTAATAGTAAGTTATCATTTTTTTAAAAGTCTTTCCTGTTGCCAAGGCTCAAACTGATTTTAAAAAAGCTACACCACCTCTCAGCTTGCTGTCACCGATGCTTTTCCTACAACACTGTGAAGAGATTTCACTCCTCTTGCTCTTAGCAAAGGTCCCTGTGATTGCACCAGACTTCCTACTCTGTGGTCAAACACTTAGCCAGGAAACAAGAGTTTCTAATTTTAAAAGACATAGGCAGAGCACCTTTTCTTTAATTAAATTTGGTAAAATGTTTTATCAGCAAAGGTTTTTAAAAATTCCATTAGCATGCACTGTTGAGTGGGTAGAGCCAGGAAATAGGATCAATGCTTTTGAATTCTTTCCCTGTCTCTGCACAGCTAAACTCATCTCACCTCCTGTGAATTTCATGTACTCTGTTAGCATCAGCTTTAGTTATCCAGCACATATTGCCAAAGGACCATCCCACACGGGGAACACACACCAAGCTCTATGGGCAACAACCCACAGAGGAAGCTTCATGTGGATGTGGACAATATAGGTAAGCCTGGGCATTTCAGAAGAGTTGCCTTCTTGCCCTTCCCCAGGAACATGCCAGTGTCAATGAACAAACTGTTATAGAAGCTCACTGCTCATGTGGCTGGGGCTTGTATTGGTTAGTGATCACCACCTTTGCATGGACAGAAGTAACTGTAGGATGACAGCCTCTGTTCTGAAGCCTTCAAAGCCTAATTTCAGGTTTTTCTCAACTGACTGGTAATCAACATGGCACGTCAGTGCAAAGATGAGAACTCCAGTAAGAGGCAGGCACTGTATGACTTGGTAGCATTGAGTTGTGACACAGCACTGATGTGAGCTACTTAATTCACAAAAGCTTTGTGACTCTTCCTACATTATTTGTTTACAAAAAAAACCAAAACCTGCTGAGTTCCTTCCAACAGAAGGTGCCTTTTTCACTCAGAGTTTGCACCCAGAGCAGTGTGTCTGAGATGGTGCATGCACTGGAGGGTCTGGGCTTTCATCCCAACACAGACAAACTCTACATTCAATTTAAGCTTTGTTACTGGTTTCAATGCAGCAAAGAAGAGTCATACAAGCACACAAACCTTCTTGAGGTTTGGCAAGCTATTAGAACTGACAGATGCGGGCCAGGACTCTTTTGGGGCTCTGAAGTGTTATCAGCTCACCACTCAGTGCATGAGTTTGGTTTGAGCAGGTTTCTCTTCAGAAAGATGCTGTTGCAAATTCTGAGCTGCCTTTCCAAGGCACTTGGGGACCTTTAGTAAATGGCTCTGTGAAGCCAGCACATACCAAGGAGAGCTTTGAAAATGCTACAGTCCCACCTGAACCTTCCCTGCTGTCAGTCAGATGAGCCTGAACAAGTAAAATAACTTCTTGGAATTTTTATCAGTAGTTTTTGAAGTTAGAAAATTATAATCTTCTACTGCTGCATACACACCAGGAAGAGAACTACTGAAAACCTTTGCAATGGTCCTGTTTTTCCTCACTACCTCCAGTGTACACCCCTGATGTAGGAGTGGTTGCATTTAATGCTAACGGGGCCAACAGACTGTATTGGCCTGCTTGCTTGTGTGGTGCTCTGATGCAGCTCTGCTGAATGCAGCATTATGTTCATCATCACACCTTCACAAAATACAGATATCCCAAACAAGCAACAGCCAGAAGCAGCAAATCCTTCTGTTGCAGTATTGGTATGCATTAATGGCTTCAGCAGCCAGGTTTGCCATTATCCTGCTGTGCTGGCTTTTGAGACAAAGACTGCAGCAAAAGTATCTGCTCTTCACCTGTGTTAGAGAGCAGAAATAAACACACTCAGACTTCCTGGGATGGCAGAATACCTACCCAAGCTCCATCAGGTCCAAACAGCTCTAAAAAGTTGCCAATAAATTCCCTGGACTTTTCTTCCCATTTCTGAATCAGGTCATGGCTCTTCTCTTCCACCTTGTAAACAAATTCTTTTGACTTTTCCTCCACATTCTTGACTTTTTCTTTCATTTTGTCCACTTGGTTTTGAAAGCGATATTTCTTCTCCTGTTTTAAAAGTGTGGTCAAAGATTAATAAAAAGACTTGGGAATAATTAGCCACAGACAACTGAGAAGAAGAAAAAAAATTGCATTAATGCATCCTAATACATACAGCCTTGGTTAGCTTTTCCCACATTATTTTTATAAATGCAAGTTTAATATTTGTGAAATGAAGTGCAGAAGGTACATATTGAAAAGATTTCCTGTGTGATTACTGTGTTTAATCCACTACATGAATCTTTCTGTATTTTCAAACTGAATGCACTTTGAAAGTGATGTGAATCTTGTGAAGGATACGAGTGGGAAATTAACAGCTCAAACTTAAGAGTAGGCAAAAGGGAAATCTCCCTGTTTCCTAGCAAATGCTGCTGACTTGCCAGCCTGGATGTTAACTTGGATTAAAATGTCTCTTTGGGTGGATTTCTGCAGAGCAGAAGGAAAACTCTCATGAATTCTGAGCCTGGCTAATACAGGAGCTTCTGGCTCCAACACAGATGTGTGTAGGCCAATGGTTTGTGGCCAGCAAACTTCACAGAAAAGACAGCGACTCCTAATTGCTAAGTCACACAGAAAAAAAAGAAAGAGAGAGAGAAGATAATATTAGGGAGCTCATGGAAAAAGCTTCTGAATTACTTCAGGAATAAAGAGCTTTTGTCTTGAAATGCTTGTGTGCTCCACAAGTTTTTGGTACAAGCAAATAAGCAAGGCTGTACTCCTGAAGGTGTGGTGGTCTGTGTAGAAGCACAGGTCAATATTGGCTTTTAATTTTCTGTTAACTCCCTTTAATGGCCACTTGAATTTATTTTTAAAAAATAAGCACTGAAGCGGGGTTTATTCCAGCTCACTAAAAGAACTGTCTTTGCAAGCCACAAGCACAAACAAAATCCCCAAGGTCCAAAGAAACCAGACTTCCTCTGTACCTAAAGGGTGATCAGCCCTTTAGTGAGGAAACCAGTGCCCTCCTGCAAACAAGACCAGTGCTCTTGTGAAATCCTGGGGATTAAATTTTGAGACAAACAGTCTCCAGTGCAAATCAGTATTTCGGCATTTAAATTATTGCAAGGTAAACAATCATGTCAGGAGGTTCTTCAGGAGACATCGGTGTCTAAGATGGGGGCAAGCATGACTTATGCAACAGTATCTTAACCTCACAGCTGCTCAAGGATAAATTTGAGAATCTCCAAGGCATCCAGCATGCTTTATTTTAATGGATATTTGCAATAGTGATCTTTCTGAGCGGAGTACTTACAAGCAAGATTTTTCAGAACGCTTTAAAAAAAAGCACAGTGAAATAAATATTTATGCCCTGTAATATGGGGTTAGACTGCCAGACTTCAAAATAAGAAGGAGATAAACTCTAATGAAATGACACAATTCAGTCATTCACAAGGGGGTTTCTAAACTCCAGGGAGGGAGGTGAGAAGTCCTGCTGTGAGCCATCTCAGTCACAACAGAGATTTCAGTTACGTGGGTTGTCTTGAGGTTTTAAGTCAAGACTTGAAACAGAAAATGAAGGAAGGTAAAGTCTAATTTCCATAAAGTGTTTACTTCTCATTGGAGGGGCAGGTCTGTATGTGGAAGATTAATAATCTGAGCCATTCTTTCACATAGCTCTCCTGCCATTGTGGTTTCTGAGCTCTACAGCAGCATTATTTATGTACCAGCTTGCTAGCATACCTCCTTATCTTTTGAAAACCATTTTAGCTTTCCCTAGTAGTCTCACTGCTCTGTGATTGGCTTTGTTAGGGTGTTTTTGGTTTTCTGTTTTGTTGGTTTTTTAATCCTATCACGTTGTAGAGAAACTTTGGATCTCAAAATCCATGCTCTCTGGGCTGCCTTCTTGGAATAGGAATATAGAAAGAAATCATGTCTTGGGTGAATGGTTGAGCAGCTTCTGGTGGAAGGGTGGGCTCCTTTCTAGTGTGTCATTGTCACCTACAGCTCAAGGAGGCAAGAGGAGCAGCAGCTTTGTTAATAGTGTAAGATGGAAAGGAAGCTGCTAATTAATAGGAGCAATTAAAACTACCCTCAGCTTACCAGTGTCTTTTAAATTAAGTTCTTTCCAGCTATTTTAAAAGCATCATGAGGAAGATATAATTTCTTATCTGAACTTTACATTGAGGATGCTAGCAGAGAGTGCTTGAGGAGCAAGCATGGCTCACTGTACTCACATTGATGAAGCTGACGTTCAGCTCCTTGGCAGTGTACCCTCGCTGGAGGTTGCGCCGCGCGTACACGTCGTAGTCCCGCACGATGCGAGTGATGATGTCCGATGTGGAGATACCTTCGGTTCTCTGCGTAGGCACGAACATTCCTGAGCAAAGTGGGAAAAGAAAGCCTGCTGATAAAGCTTGGCAGGACCAGGCACTGTGGCAGATAGCTGAGGATGAACTTAAAATGCCTGACAAAGGTAAGAGGCTTACAATTCTGCTTTATTCCTAGTTCTTTCCTGTTGTTTCTGTGTGAGTTTGGGGAAGGCAAGGTTGCTATACTACTCATTTTTCTCTCAGGTCTTTAGAAAGACTAAAAATTGCCCTCTGTACAGCGTCAGCTGTGATGTGGAAGTTATTAGACTGGCAGGGGCTCCCGAGCCCGGAAGGCCAAGCTTCACAGCTGTGACCAATTCACTGAGCAGTTCTTTCCATAAGCACAGCCCTTATTTAATATAAAGGAGGAGGGAGTTTACTGCTCTCCTTTATTTCCACTCCTGTGCTGCACCTGACAGTCTCTGTTCTGCTGAGTAGAACAGACCAGCCTCTGGCCTTGACAAAAGCCAGGAAAAAGATGCATTACAGTAACTGGAAAAAGCCCTGGAGGTGCCAGTGGTTTGTAACAGAAAAATGAAGTGTCATGTGTGTGAGGTGTAGTGTTTCATGTCCACCCAGCCATGCCAGTGGCTGCATAACCATCCTCCCTGCTCTGACAAATCAACCCCCAAGAAAACTGGCCATTTATCAATACTGCTCACATTTTCCTCAACATAACTGAAATATATGCAGCTTTCTCATTGCTCCCCACTAAAGCAGGAGCATCTGAACTGTTAATGCAATTCACAAATGCAATAGTAGCAGAGTGCAGGCACACCTTGGTTTAGTAGTTATTTAGGGCTACAAAAAAATTTCTATTCTCACTTACATGTAATTGCAACATGAAGCTGCTGATGAAAGAGAGAGAGAAGACTGGAGATGGTTTGGGAAAAGAAAATAGTGCTTTGTCTTAAAATAGTGTTATAGCTGGCAAATGAATCCCCACATGTTCACTTAAAGTAAGCAGGCATTGGTACCTAATTTTACAGGGATGGAAAAAGACTCAAAGAATCAAGAAGCTTAGCAGCCTCTTGTGACTAAATGTTATGTGATATTTTTTCTTTCTGATCTCTTAATTAATACTTTGCTAAAAAAATAGATTACTTTAATCATGAGCAGACATGTTTCCCTGACTGTTGCTTTTCAGGCTTCCACCAGTCACTCAGAAAACTATTTTTGGAAGCAGTGAAACCCGCTTTGAGCCAGAAACCTTTACAGATAAGAGTTACAAGAATATATGGACAAAATCCAAACCCCACCTTTGTTAAGCTGAAAGTGGAACTGTAGGTGGACATTACCCTTAGTCACTGACTTTGCCTTCATCTGCTTCATGTGTTGGAGTGATCCATGTTTTCCAAGCTAAGTGTTCACAGACGTGCACAGTTTCTGTCAGTGCCCTGTTACCCAGCTCACCATTGCCCATATGCCCTCCCACCCACTGAAGGTAGTGGGGAATTGGGAGCCCAGGAGAATCTACCCCAGGCGCTCCCTGCTCTCCAACAACCTGATGTGAGAAAATGGGAGTACTGGAACTATGGAAAAAATGTGCAAATGCATCAACAGCCCCGGTCTATTTAAAACAAAACCCCTAGGAGAAAGGGGAAATTCATTATTGTAATAATGCTGCTCTGGAGCATTAGGGACTATTACAGCACTAGATCTCAAAACTCATCACAAATAAGTTAACATTATTCCCAGATTATACATAGCAAAATCCAGCCATACAAGACCCAAGATGCTTCTCTGGTATCTCATGGTGACAGACACAACAGACCACAAGTCCCTGAAGCTGAAAGTCCATACTCTCTTCTGCAAAGTCTGAGTTTCTCACTGGGTCGTGTGTGCACCGTGCCTGTGCTCAGCGACAGCAGAGAAGGGTGTGCCAGGTTTGGGCGCTCTCACACCAAGTCTGGCAATGATCCAGTAACACCAAGAGTTCCTGTTGTGTTGTCCTGTGCACTTGGCAACTTCAGAAGAAAAGTAAAATAGCTGCCTGTCCAGCATGTGTGCAGTATGACCCTTGATGACCCATTCTTACCAGAGGGGCCTTTTTTCACTGCCTACTGAAGGAAGCTGGCTCTGAAACTATAGAACAGTCATTCCCAAACGAAGGTTGTGAGTCTGATACCACAGGGAGGTTCACAAGTGGAAAACTATCAAGAGCTGCCGCTATAAAAAGCTTATTCCTTCAGCTCAGGTCAATAGCTGGTCTATAACTATCACTGTATAGTTTGAGGTCACTTTGCATGGCATATTACCATCAGGCAGATTGCTCTGGAATTTTTTCAAGCTTCCAATATACATGTCTGTGCAGAACAGATAGGCTGGATTTGCCAGGGTTCAAAGCAGCAGGGAGCAGCAGCAGAAGTATGTGATTTGTTCCTCCTCCTTCCACTGTTCACTCTGTTAGGATAGCTACTATTGGCAAGCATTGGCTTAACGTTATGTCCTCAAATTTAATTCATCTTCCTTGAACTGAAGAGACACAAATTCCTAATGAGTTCAGCATCTTCGTGTTCAATGTAATATGGTAGTCAACCAAACTGCTGAATGATCATGGGAAATGAATTACTCTGATACTGATTTAAACCCTCTGCTAGTGTAATGAAAGGAACCCTCAGTGCAAGTGGATCCTAATGGCTCCTGAAGGTTGCCTGTGCTTGCCCATATTAAGGACTGGGATGTATCAAGGAGGTGTCAGTTTGTGGTTATCAAAAACTGACTAAAGTTGGATGGGCTGCTGTGGGAACTGAAATCATTTTCATCCATTCAAAATTCTTAGTCAAGCACTATAAAATGGTTTTAAAAATGCAGATGGGTCTATTTTGTGCCAGATCTGAATGGTTTCCTTGAGGTTATGGCAGGAATTCAGCCAAGGATGTCCTTTGAGGTTTTCTTTCTGCTCAACTCAGCAGTACCTACCATTAGGGTATAAGACAATATGATATTACCTCTACTGCTTCTGTCCCAGCAGTTCTGGTTAAAAGGCATAGATGAATTTCAGATGAGGCTGAAAAGGAAGGTGCTAAAAATGTAAAGTTGCTCTTACCTGCCTCCTTTATGTGTTTGTAGACGTCATCCGATCCAGCGGAAGAGTACGGGATGTCATCATGTGCTACGAAGTCAATCTGCCAGTGAACAGAAGAATGACATCACCATCACCAGATTTTGGTTCACTGGGGGATTGTTGTGGAGAGTTCTTTCTTTTCTTGACTTCAGCTAACTTGCTTTTGATATTCTCATCCTAAAGCTATCACCTAGTGTATTGTACTAGATTTGGGCCTGCAACTGCTGTGTTGTATCATCAATTATGAAAAACCAGAAATCTTCTCTCCAAAAGCACTGCCACTACCACATCACTCTGACTGGCTCAATGTGATATACAAAACCCAAGACACAGGTTCCTGCTGTTATTCCTACTGCAAAAGCAAGTGGTGAAGCCTTGGCTTTCAAAACCATGGAGCCAGGATAATTGATTTTGGGTCCTTAGGGCTGTGCATACTCACGTGTATACCTAGTACTATCATGCTGTCCTTTTGTCACCTAGTGATGTAGACACTAAAATACATCCTACTTAATTATGCTTTTGTCAAGATTCATATGTGTTGCAAGACAATCAATAGCATCTAAAACACTCTATCCTGCCTTTTAGAGGGCACATGGTATTTTTAGATATTGCACCTGTTGCCATTAATAGGAAGCACACCTTTAATTCAAGACTTCAGTCACTAGGTGACAACTTTCCTGGTTTACCATCTCCTTTTCTGAAAGTCAATTTATCAGTAATTTTTTCAGTTTATTTTATCCTTCAAAAATCCCAGCAGAGAAATCATCTCAGCATACTGAGGAAAAAAAGGCAAAAGAAATATAATGTTTTCTGAAAGAGACGGAGGCAAGGAATGCTAGGTACCTAATTTCAGTGACTGGAATTAACTGAATAAAATAATTTGCTCCACCTAGTAGGATTTCAGACTTGTTCATTCTCAACTGTCAGTCTGCAAAGGGGAAGGGAGAGATAAGGGGAGAAATGTACCTTATGTTTTTCAAGGAACTCAGGTGTCAGTGTCCAGGGTGCATCTCTGATGACCTCATCCACATAACGACAGTGTCTGAGGGCTTCATATCGCTCAGTTTCATTCATCACAGTGAAGCCTTTGAATTTATGAGTTAAATCATCACTGCAAACTAAAACATAGAAGTATGAGCAAAATGGCTCCACATTCAGTAAAATTAGCATGACCAGGAGTTGATTATACTAGGTAAATCACTTAGTTACTAGCTTAGCAATTTTTGAGGTGTCCTAGGGCATCTAAGAGTTCTGTTTGGAGTTGGCAGATACAACTGTGTAATCATGAGACAACCTTCTCTTTCTGGAGCTGCAGCCAGGGGCCAAGTATGGTATTTTAAGGCACTTCAGGTGGTATCCTTTACATGCTAAGGTAAACCAATCCCACTCTTAAGTGGGGATTTCATGGGCTGTGATATTTCAGGGGTGATGGCCAGTGCTTTGAAACCAATCAAAGAACATAGCGTGGACAATCACAGAGTGCTCACTAACTTCAGGTATCACAAAATGGTCAAGGCAGGAAAACCACTTGACATCACCTAATCCAAACCCCCTCCTCCCAGTAGAGTCAACTGCAGGTTGCTCAGGGCCATGTCCAGTTGGGTTTCAAAGACGGAGACCCCTCAGACTCTCTAGGCCTCCACTTCCTGCTTTTAATTTTTATGTAAACAACACTCTAAAAGAGAAATTTGCCAACAAAGCTCAAAATCACAGTGAGACAGTTTCTCATTAAATAAACCCTGATGGAAAACAAGTCACAGAAAACTTTACATGAATCTGTCTCCAAGCTTAGCTTTGAGTTCAGCAGGTTTCACAAAAAGAAGAGTAAGGCTTGTGCCATGTTCAAATGGAAAGCTGCTGAAGAAAGCCCCAGGGAAAGGACTGGGAGAAGCCATATGCTCTAGTGAAATGAGCAGAGTTAAAGGGCCAGAAATCCTGCATCTTTAACTCTGGATGCACCAATACTTTGTCACATTGCTTTTAAAATGAGGGCCAGCAACACCCACATTACCAGAGGACTGTAAGAGTTAGGTATTATCTTTCTACCCACATAACATTGTGTAAAAAACAGTGACCTTCTCCTCTCTATCCAACATTACAGCTGCAACAGTCATTTGACACCCCACATGGAATAATGCGATACCCATTTATAGCTGGGTTGCCAGTTGTTGTCCTTCATCACGGGTCAAACCTGTGCCTTTGGATCTTTGTCTGTAAATGTACTTGACAAATGATAAATGCAACATTACCAGTGCTGCAGTGAAGTGTAAGAGCAGCCCTACAGCTGCTGCTTCTTTCTAATTTGAAAACATCAACCTATCAGGCAAGGTGCTGGCAAAGATGCAGTCTTTTCTGAGATCGGAAATGGATGCTCTTGCTGTGATGGTCATTAAGGACTTTCAAAGTAGGAAAAATGTAGAAAAGCTTAGATATCCATGAAGCTTGCGCAAAATTCAAAGCCAGATAATAACATATGTATAAATTTCAGCAAGCAAAATGCTACTCTCTCCTGTTATGTCAGTTTTGATGCCTGCTGACAAGAAATTTAATGGTGATCAAAGCATTTTCAGGAGAAAGATCCCTTCAGAGACTGTATTTGTATTTATTTACAGCCTTTATGACATCTTTGGGCTACCCTCTCCTGGAAGAAAAGGTCTACCAAAATTACTGGAAAATAGTAATTTTCGCTTGCATTCTGAAGAAAGGTTTGATTTTATTTTCTGATTACTATTTGTTCATGCACAGTGCAGACAGACAGAATATCTTTCTTTGTACTTCTTTTGAATCTGTCATCCTGCTCTAATGACTGATTTAGGAAGGTATAGATGTCCATTTTAAAAAGAAAAGTGATCTTAGGTCCAAATAATGTTCTTCACAAGAAGAAATAGAAGAGGTTGATTGTGATGCCCACAAAGACATATGACACCGGTGCTTTTGCAGCACAAATTGTATGTGGGTGTGGGAAGGTGTCCATTTTTTAAACATGCTAACACACAGTGCCTTGCTGGGAGAAGGTGCTGATGAGTGCTGGCTGCTTTGTCCTTCATACCAAAAATAAAGGCAAAGTGAAGCTATGCTATGAATTTCAAAGAAGCCAGGCTTTTGCCCCAAAGCTCCTTCCCTTCTCTGGGACAACCCCATATCTTTTGAAAACAACAACAAAATGTGCATAACTTGCATTTTTTTTAAACCTCACAGTCTTGCACTTCCACTTGCTTCTTCTGCAAGTTGTCTGGCTCAGCAGGAAACCAGAGAATCCTTAATGTTTCCTTCCTAACAAAGGGACTTGTCCTTTACCTCACAGGAAGCTCCATGGGAATTGCCACATTTCATGAACTTGAGTAAAACTAAAGTATGTGTTTATAAAGAGATTTTGTTTTTCCTGTGTGTTGGGTCTTTCCCCCCCGCCCCGCTCCCACAACTGTTTGGGACAAATATGCAAAATAATGCACCTTGTAGTACCTGAAGGTTGCACTCATGTTCACTGTAAAGCATTTGAGCAGCTGAATGAAGGTTGCTGTGAAATGTTTCTGCGAGGAATATCTCAACCCTGGAGGTGCAAGGAAAATGGAACCAAACTGCACATTTTTGAGGCTTCATGAGAGCAGGGCCTGCACAGCCTACTAGGCAAGAAAGAGCCACCCTCCAGTGACTCCTCTGGCACAGGCCAACTGCTGAACAGCTGTTAGCCAGGCACACACCAAGAAAAGAAGATATTCTTAGCAAAAAAAAAAAAAAACCAACCCACAAAACAACTGAATTAAGAAGGTAACATGCCTGGGGACACCTGAGAACTGAAATTGCATTCCACTCATGACCTATTTGGGTCTTCAATGACAATGGCCAGATGTAGCTTCTGTGATGAGGCTGAAAGCTGGGTCTGGACCTGGCAGGCAGAGGTCATGGTCTGTGCCTGGCTGGCAAAGGGACCAATGAGCCAGAAATAAATAATGGTTGCTCTCATTCACTCATCTCCATCTTTGAACAATTTTGAGCAAATAACTGAAAAAGGTAAATTATTCATAGGGAGCTATTTTAAGCTCAGAGCCATGCAGGCACCTGCTTTAACTAGAATGGGAATTGTGCCTGTGCTGCTGAGGGCAGAATTTGACTTTTACTTTAATTGATGCAATTGTAAGATGTAATTCAAGGCAAATCACCTATAGAAAGCCCCTGAGAGAAAGCAGCATTCAAGTCATAGTGTATAAACAGCTGGGGGTGGGAGCACAGCAATAACTTTCTGATAGTGAAGCACAGAAGCAAAAATCCAGTGCAATAAATAACTTGATCTTACCTCCTACTAATAAGTAGCTATTTGGGAATAGAGTTTTGGCTTGCATAAGAGCTCTAGCATGGCCAGCGTGGAAGAGGTCAAATATTCCATCTGCATACACTCTGACAGGTCTGTCAACTGTGGAGAAAGAAACACAACAGTGATTTTTCAGATCCCAAACAAGTTGCACTTAATTATCCTGGATGGCATTTTATTCCCAGATCAGATGATTGCAGAGATTTACCCCTGTTCTGATATTCAAAAGCCCCACAGGTGAACCTGCAGTTTTTGATACTGCACATTACTTGTTTTTTGTACTCTCTGTTGTTTTCTCTCAGACTTACCCTATTTATTATCATCCATCATCCCCATATTCTAATTCAGCAAAAATGTCATCTTCCTGCCTCATTCAGAGTTCCACCATATGTCTTGTTCTTTTCTCTCTGCCTTTCTAATCAGATATGCCTTATGGATTTTTCCCATCATTTCCCTTTCCTCCACTCTTGCCTTGACTTTTTCCACAGCTTACTGCTGTAAAAATCAATTGCTTATCTCTTCTATGCAAACCTCTTACTTCACTTTTCCCAGACTTTCCCCAAGTTCTTCTCTTTCTCATGTTATCAACCCTTATAACTCTTTCTGTATAGCACCTCCAGCAGCAGCCTCCAGATTGAAAAAGGACTTGCTTTCTCAAATTACATGCTTCGCCACCTCCAAGCAAAAGCACAGTGGAGATGAAAGCAACAGAGCTCAAACCCCCATGGACTGTGTTTCAGTGACAGCAGAGAGATGTCTCTGCAGTCAGGACATCCAAGGGTCCACGGGAGAACACTGTTCCTTGCACAGCTGACTGGAAAGCTGAAGCTTGCTCCTGTATTGTGTTCGTACTTTAAAAGTGTATTTTAAATAAGCAAAGTAAACAGAGCCTTTTAAAAAATAACCTCTTGAAATATGGGGGGGGCGGGATGAAGGATGCATTTGGGACTACATGTGAAATCATCCCAATCCAATCATATATGCCCAGATAAAAGAAACTGGCAAGTAACCTTTAAGGCCACTGATGTGATCATTAGGAACATCAGTGAAAGAAGAATTTTCCAGAGATGAGAATCCAGAAGGTAGCTACTACATAACACAATTTTCAGGATAGCTGGAGAGGGCTGGCAAGCCTTCCTTCCAACCAACATTCACAAACACATCAAAACCTAAATTGAAATGTTTTCTCTTGTTGTTTCTCTAAGAGAACATAATGGCTCTGAAGTTGCTGGTTTCTTCTCCATTACCTGACAGCACTAGACATTAGGCTTTTGCTTTTGAGTAGAAGGCACAAATAAGCATTCACTGATGTTTGTATGGAAGAAGCAGGCTTTGGGAGTGCCCATGATCCTGTGGATCTCTCCACATACCTGGTGTTCCCCGGCGGGCTTGTGCAATGGTTAACTTCTCATGGGGTGCTTGGCACTGACAGCTTGTTTCATCTGCGAATGGAGCAGGTGCAGTCAGAGTCTGGAAGGAGGAAAAAGCACAAAAAAAGTAAATTTATTTTCACTACCAAGTAGTTATAAAAGAACCATTTAATGGTGGCAGAATGCTGTAACCAGACTTCACGCTGGTTTGTTCTCTGGGGATTTTTGCTTTTTGGTCACCCCTGAGCACACACAATTCACACAAGGCAGGATGGTGAGGAAAATAAAGCTTTTAAAACATGTCATGTGACTGAATTCTTTGTCTTTGTTAGACATCTTTGCCTGGTCATCTTTGAGGTGGGTGAAGGCATATTATTTTTGTTCGCAGAACAATGTAAGGTTGGATAGTGTGAGCAACTTAACACTTCCCAGTGACTCTGAAGGCCCAAGGAAAAATGTATTCTATTACCTGTAAGTAACAGCTGGAAAAACTACTTGGGACTTAGAAAAACGCAAATGAGCCACCTCTTAACAAGCACCCTTTCCTGCCACTAGTATCAGTACAAATAATTGGGAGTGGAGGTTGTTTTGTTGTGGTTTTAGTCCGAATCTCCTATAATTTTGAGGAGCCACTCAAAATAAAGGCGATGCAACCTTAAGTCCCATTTAACAGGAGCTGACTGAACTGCAACTCCTCTCTTGTCTGACACATTCTGTAATAGTACTAAAACACTCTAACTGTGATCAGAGCACCACAAGGGTACTTGCTTCGAGGAGCTTATAACCTAAAGATATATGAGACAGTATGAGGATGTGTGAAGACTGACGTGGCATTATCTGTCAGGAAACCTGATTACTGAATTTGTATTTTCTGCCCATGTCTATGTAGGAAGTTATCAGCCATCAGACCCTCTAGTATTTATTATCTGCCATATAGTCTGATAGGAAAAACAGCTTCTACAGCTTTTGGCTTGAAACCTTTACAAAAACATAACTGAGTTTTGGTTTGCTTTGGTTTTGAGATGAAGTGGTGGTTGAGAAAAGCTGAAGGAAATCTGTCACTTTGCCTCCCCCATGATTTAACTGGGAGTTCATGGCTGTGCAGCTGTGGCTTGGTTGGGTTTTGACAGTGACCTGATGTACAGTTGTCACACCAGTTTGAGTACCCATGGATGAACATAACAGCATCCCTTTTTGCCTTTACATGGTTTTTCAGATTTTTCATGCTGAATGATTAATCACTGAGCATTTAGCATTCTTTATCATCCCTGAGACACTTTAGAGCATGTCATACCTAATTGCTGGCTGATCTCTGGGCTCACTGGTTTGTTGCATGGAAAGCTCAGAGGACAGTAGTAAAACAACAAAGACTTAAAGATTCAGACCCAGTTCTTTCTGCTGATTTTGCTACTCCTTTCATTTACTACAAGTAATGCAAAAGAAGGTTTCCCTCTTTTCCTTTCCATTTTTCTTTCCTTTTTTTCCCCATACTCTCAAATGTTAAAGGAAACCATCATCATTAGCATCTTCATGATGAAAATCACAGCATCTCTGTACAGACAAGGTTAAAAATGGAGAAACTATTACCAAGCCCAAGTTTCTGCCTGGGTTTCATGGAGGGGAACTGTTCATCAGGCCACCCACGCTGCACAGTGTAGAACATTACACATAATCATACAGTGCCAGCTCTTTCCTTTATTTTCTAAATACTGTCTTTTTGCTTCTGGCTTTGCTATTGCTGGGTGCTAATCTGTCTTTTTATCTCCAAGGAAGGTCAAGTTACACGGCAGCCCATATAGCCTGGTTCCTGCTGAGATAAAGAGGAAGGCAGAAATGTTAAAACAATAATGGCTATGGTCTGAGGCCTGCAACTGGTAATCAGCTCCTATCTTGGCAGAGGTTGTTTCCTTGAAGGTTATTTGAAGAAAATAGGCTTGGTTTGCAGGAAGATATCTCTTTTTCCCCCCCAGGCAGACACAGTGGTGCTTTTCATACATGTAACCACCTTTGCAACACTGAGATTTTTCTTTCAGTCTCTGCTCAATGAAGAACAACCTCTATCAGCTTCCCACTGGTCCAGCTTTTATAAATGTTCATCATTAAAGCTAACTTTACAGATCAGGGCTTAGAACCAGACCTGTCAATATTCACTTTACTCTCTGATCTCACAGTTACTAGATAGGAAAACACATCAAATGCAATACATTAAAGTCAGCCATATTCTGTCAAAACCAAACAGAGAAAAGCACAAACACCATGTGCTGACAGATGAAAGCTATAGCAGTAGCTTCCAAATGACTACTCACTACTATTTTATTTTATCTGTCCTAGAAAAATTATTGCTAAGCTTAACAAAAACATCTTATGAGTAAAATGAGACCATTTGGTTTGTATAAAAGCCCATAAGAGAATATATTTCAAGAAATTATAAAACCCTTAAATAATTTATCAAACCTTTTCAGTTGGTATACATAATTACTCATATTCTTTCCAGTTTCTTGATGGTAATAATTAGAATTGCGAGAAAACAGCAAGTAATTTATATAGCACCTTTTTAATTTTGGTTAATCCATTAAAGTTCTTTTGGAAGTTTGCTACAGTTTTGCCAATAATCATATGGTTAGACAAAGACTTTGTACTTCTGTCTTGCTCTGATAGATTTTTCCCTTCATCTCTGCCTTCCTTATATTCTAGGCATTTACATTTTGCAATTACTCAAGCAAGTGAAATTAGCCTTATATTTTGGACCAAGGTAAGCTCCTGAGACCTGCACCATCCTATAGTAATATGTGAGAGAAAGCTTATCCCATGTCACAAATGGAGAGGTCATTGTAATACTAGGACTTATTAATGAAGATGATAAAAAGCTCTTGCAATAAGAGTCCTGTTTCCTGGTAATTAAGGCACAGCATTCAGCAAAATGAGGGTACAAGAAATCATCACATTTAGTAAACCCTTGCATATTAGAAGCTTCTAATTCTATGAGAAGTTTAAATAATGTCTTACTTTCTAGGAAATTTGCAAAAGAGCTGAATGATGTTCAGTAAACTTCAGGACATTAAAAGATGGAATGTGGCTAATGGGAGCTTTCCCAGCAAGCACCTCACAGCTCCATATGCAGCAGCAATGTCTTTGTAACCCACGGCTCTATTTGGTGAGACAGTAGCCCAGAGAGGAGCACAGTGTGGTTGGCATCCCTGAGCTGGTTCTGGGGCCAGGACACTTCATGAAGAAACCCTACATGACAGCTAGAAGCACCTTATTTCCAGGTGTATCTTGATGCTCCTTTCTATTATCTCTCTTCACAGTCTCTTAGGCTACTGTAGCCATTTAACTTAGCTCCTAGACATAAGATAAACACTCATGCTTATGTTTGTAATGATTAAAAGGAAAGTTGTTGGTGATTTGTAGAAGGAACAGGAGTCCTACCACTGAAATAATAGGTCATGAAACAAGCACCTCCATCTCCTCTGATTACAGCCTGTTGAGTTACTGCTTGCTTGCTTCTGTATGTTTGGTAGTTGGGCTTGGTTTTTTACACAGAAGCAAGGAAGACAGAAACATTCTTTTAAGTAGGCAAATGTAGACCCATCCAAGCCGTAGTGCACCTGCCTTTATACCTCTGCCTGCAGGGTGACTGTAGGAAACACAGCTAATGGAAGGAGCTACTGCTTTTTTTTTTTTAATTCATGCAACTACAATACCTTCTCTCCTCCTCTTGGTAAAACTGTGTTGTCACCTAAGATTTTGCTACAAACAAAGATCAATGAAATTTCAGATCATGAACCAGTACAGCTACAGAGGCAACACCTGATAAAGCAGGCTGGGTCTGCGCTTATGAAAGAATTAAACTGGCAGGGAAATTCTATGGGAGGTCTGATGTTGTAATCACCTTTTGTCTCAGAGGCAGTATTTAAAACAGATAAGTGATTTCACTGGAACAAATCACATGGAAGAAGTCTACTCATATGAGGAATGATTATTTTGGGAACCTGTCCCTGATGCTGAGAAACAATAATTACAGAGCAGGAAACACTGGCATCAGTTTCAAGAAATATTTAAGAAAAAGCCCTATTAAAGAAAAAGCCCTATGAAAACTATTGAAAAGTGCCAAGTTTCTGAGGTATGAACACTTTCTGTAAGTGCAAAGGCCATGCTAAGAACTACCAAGGTCTTCTCTTAGAGGTTCAGGGAGCAAACATTGTCAAAATGGAAAACCATGTTGTCTCCCACCTGTTTGGGTCAGTAACCTAAATTTATGAGCATTTAAGTTGTAATTGAATGTTACTGGTAGTTGTCTCCTGGTAAACTTTTTACAAACTGCTCTAATATCCGTGCCAGTATAGAAAAAAGTCTATCCTGTTCTCTCACAGTTCTGCTGACTCAGGAAGGTGGATGTAAACTAAAATATGGCAAACTAACCTCATAAGAACAGTAATTTCAGCATTCTGTTTGCAAGCATTTAAAATTAACTTTGTTGTTCTTTCTGGGCTTTATCTTCAATCAAATATACTTTGCTCATCATTAATATTAAGTAATTTTTAAGTGCAAGATGTAATTACAAATTGAAGATACTGCAGAAGAAAAGCAGCTTCCACTGCTTTTTCAAGAAGCATAATGATGTATATATGTAGAGATTAATAGATTATGAAACTAGAACAACTATTATGTAATCTAGTGTAATATTTACAAAAGTCCAAAGAATTTTGTGACAAGATTCCTGCATGACAGCCATGACTTCTGACTGAACTGGAACACATTATTTAGAAAACAAAATCATCCCTAGAAGTAGGATGGGCCCCAAGCCAAGCAGAGTTCAAGTAAAAGAGTTGCCAATGAAGCACCTCAGCCTCCATGAATGCCAGCTAGAAGTGAAATGTGACCTTTGGGAAGTCATCCACCTAAGCCCGCTCCCCTGGCACGGCCAGAAGGAGATGGGAGGAGCTCTGCATGCCGGTGATCCAGGCAGGACTCACGGAAAGAGCAAACTGCAGCAAGGGCACTGTGCAGCCCGTGAGCCTGGATGTTCTCCTGATGACTACAGACAGGAAAGCTGCCGGGTATCCCAGCACTAAGGAGGGATACACAGCATTCCAGGAT